GGAGCCCCAAGACTTTAGCATGCTAAGGCAGTTGATCAGGTTGGGGTGGAGGGCCAGGGACTGCCTGAATTAATCATTCCTGGATTTGAATGAAAGTCATTGATTGTGGGGTGACTCCTTTGGGGAGGGAGAACCAAGCCTAAGGAGATCTTCCCTACTCAAGGACGAGGGTGCAGTGGTGGCCATCCAGGTCAGATGGGATCCACACAGCTCAGAAAGGTGGGCTTTCCAGAAAGTCCCAAGGATGCCTGCTGGAGTGACTAAGATAAAAAAGTGTTAACATACTATACTGAAGTGGAGGCAGAGAAACTGACACTCCAAATCCTCTAGGAGAGTAATCCAATAGCTTTTTTTTTTAATATTAAAAGCACACATGCATACCTTTCTGTTCATCAACCCTTACTTTGGGGGAATCTGTTTTATTGAAGAAATAAAAAATAATTGTACAGAACACTGTTGGATCGGGAATAGGAGTGACAATATTTGTAGCACATAAGAAAACAGAAAAACCTTGACAAAAGACTATTGAACAATCTCCCACCCCACTTTTTTTCATTTGTGTAAATGGTACAGGGTCTCACTATACAGATCAAACTTATGGTGATTCTCCGGTTTTCAGCCTCCCCAGCCACCAAGCCCACCCAGACTCTGTTGCTGGCTCAGCACACCCCAGGGTAGGGCCGGTATGGCATGCTGGACCCTGGTCCCTGCCTTTGACAAAGCTTTGTCAGATGAGCTATCTCACTGGCCCTTGTACAACTATCAAGAGGTGAGAAATTAAATAAATTGTGGTATAGTCACTTTATGAAATATTGTGTAAGTACTTAGAAGAAAGGGTTATATGTTTAGCTCCTGATCATGAAGAATTTGGTTGTAAAGAAATACATATCCTAGTGAAAAAAAAAGCCACAAACCAAGACTCCCCAGGGGTCTGTGTCAGTTTATGTTTACAGGCCCATGGGGAAAGCCGTGGAACACTCAGCAGTCTATTAACATGTATTAGTGGAGGGAAGATTAATATTTTCCCCTCTGTGTAATTTTGAATTATTTTGTTAGTTACAATACTGTTTTTTTCATGTTGGGAGAAGAATTTAGTATGAGTGAAGACAGTGAGGTAGTGGGAAGGGCTACCAGCAGAAGCCAGAGAAAGAGCCCAGCCTGGAGGAGCCCAGAGTCCTGCACTGGACAGGGGACTGCCCTGGGTCCGGGCCAGGGCTCAAAGGACAAACCTGGTGGCATTCTTTTCCTGAGGCTCTTAATTCAAGGAGCTGGCCCTTGCCACACATGGTGCCTGATGAATACGCAGCAAGAGGCAAGTATACTGCGGACTGTGAGGAAATATTTCCCCCAAGGAGAATGAGGTTTTCTACCCAAAGTTACTTAGAAGCCTTTGGTGAGGCTCACTGGATTAAGCCTCATTTCGAAGAGGAAGAAATCAGACTAATACCTAGCACTAGCGAATTGGCATGTGGGAAAGCACACTACTTTTATACTGTCGCACTGGATACAAAGCAAAGCCTATGGGGTAGGGGTGATCATCCCCATGTTACAGAAGCTCTGTACCCCTCCCATAGTTGAGCTCTCTCACCTCGGAACAACCTGAGGCCCCATTCTGGGAAGGCTGGATCTGAACCTGAAGCTTACCTTCTTCCCACACCCTCCCTGGGGTGGAGAGTGGATAAAGAGCCCCTCTCTTGGTGCAGGGTGGGGACTGCTGGAGGGTGGTGGCCCTGCTAACTTCCTTAATCGGGATTTGGGTGTTAGGTTGCAAGGCCCAGGCTTTGACCCCAAGGAAGGGTTCCAGGCTTCTCTGCACCTTCTTTTCTTGGAGAGGTTCCTGTGCCAAGCTACAGCACTACAAGGTCCTAAGCTCCCTCCTCTAGGTTTGCAGCGACAAGGGTGAGGGTAGAGAGTAAATTCAGAAGTCTTCTCTGAGCCTCACCGCTGTCTTGTCCTCACTGCTCCTTTTCATCCTGCCGTTTTCATGCCTGGAGCAGTGGGTGAAGGGGAGATTCAGCTTTGACTTCCCTTGGTAGGTGCGGCTGGGGCGGCGATCCAGCCCGGAGTGCGCAGCGGGCTCCAAGGCCTTGGAAACCTGGTGTAAGGCAGAGGAACGAGAGGAATCCCGCGGCTCTGCTGGGATTTGAGGGAGATGTGGAAAGGGGACATCCGCTCCTTTTCCAGCCGGGCAGGGGTTTAGCTGTTGCATCTGGCCAGCGCTGCCTCGGCCCACACAGTACCAGACACTGTGTCCTCCATAGCCCCGGCCTGGGGCGGAGCTGGGTCCGAACAGAGTAGAAGGCTCTCTGGAGGCGCAGAAAGAAACTGTGTGGGTGGTTCACGCGCACTTTTGCCTCACTGAGCCCTGAATGAAAGCAAGTCCCGATTTCACCTCGTACTTTTTCTCTTAGTAGCTGGATTCTGATACCTTCAGCTCGAAGTTTCTCCACCATTCCTGCTTTTTCACAGAATCGCCTCCCGCTCCTCTGCTAAATCTACTTCTGGCTCAGCTTCCCGTCTTTCTCGGCACCCCCACCCCACATGGGGGACAAGCCACTCTTCAGCGTCCTGCACCGGCCCCAAGTTGCCCAGCTGAGACTGGGTCTCGGGAACTGACCTCTGACATTTTCCAAGGCGAGAAATATTAGACATTACACCCAAGTGGTTGCCTCTGTCCTCAATCGAATCAGTCCGGGGGTGGCGCAAAGGAGGGAAGGAGGCCTCCCCCATCTCAGCAGGTCCTCCAGGGCGTGAAGCCAGAACCTGAGGCCACAGCGAGAGCCGGGGTGGTGCACAGGGCGAGCAAGCCCCCACGTGGGCCCGAGGACAGGTGGTGACATCCACTGAGGACACTCACTCCTCGAACATTGTCAGCGAGGGAACATTCACACTTGGGTAAGTACAAGCACCTCCCAGAACTGGCAACAGGGTTTGCCGAGTTACTGCTTAAAAACAGTACCGTTCATTAACATACGGAAATGTCATTATGATTAAACAGCAAATTATAGTCGAGGACGGCATGGTAATAATCTAGACAATCAACCCAAGAAAAAACGTTCTCCGATGAGCCAGACAGGGGAGCCTGCGTTCCAGGCGATCCCTCTAAGCGTGAGCCTGTGGTCCCGGGCTTTGCACCGGGCCAGGCAGCACCAAAGCCGGCTCCAAGGTTTGGGGTCTCCTCGGGAGATCAGAGACTAGGCAAGGAGGGTGCATGGGAAGAGGCAGGTCTAGGGAGCCCGCCTAAGAGGGTGGCCCCACCCGGGAAGCAGTTAGAACCGCAGGAGAAGCTCGGGGTCTGGAAGAGGAACCCAATTGGAGCGCTTGGAGCGCGAAGGAGCCCACGCTCGCTCGGACTCCCCACCTTCTGGTCCCTTCCGTCCCTCCCTCGGCCCAGTCTCCTGTAGACCTTCCAGCAACTGATTTCTGGGTAGGAGAATCTTCGCGCTGCGAGAGGAGCGGTGTCTTCCCTCTCCCAAAGCCGGAGGAGATCGCGCGTTTTATTCCTGCCGGGAAGGGGCTCAGCGGTGCGCACGGTTTGCACAGCAGAAGATACTGATTTGCAGACTGGGCAGCGCTCCCCTGGCAGAAGGCACCAAGAAGACCCTCTCTCCTCCTCCTTCTCCCCTCCCCCTCATTAATAGATTCCTATCGACACAAGGCGCAGACTTTTAAATTTGAATCCCAAGAGCTGGGCTCAGGTTAGCAGCATCCTATTTCGTTTAAACGCAAAACGAAAATAACCGTTGAAACGGAAGAACAAAACTGTTTGTTATTTCTGAAATAACGATTGTTCTGGGGTGTGGAGCCACCGGCGCAGGCATTCTCTGTTTCTTGGGTTTTGCCCAGAACCCGCGCCTGAAGGAGGCGGGGCGCGCTGGGGGCGGGAGCGGGTGTCACGACGCGAGGAGCCGCGCGCCTGCGTGGACGCGGGGCGGTGATCTACGCTGCCATTAAGAATCCTTGTGTTTCCAGCGCTCGGGGCGCAGAGACTCGTGTGTTGCTGGAATCCAGTCCTTCGGGGAAATGCAGATTGGGCTGAGACCCACAGGGTTTGATTTATGAACTGTTCCACTAGCGATTGTTTACGCATTGCATTTCAGAGCCCGGCCCCCCCCCCTCCCTGCAGCGGGCTGGAGCTCAACTGTGCTGGAACCCACGCGGTAGCCAGGGGCCTCCTTCACCCTCTCTCCCTCCCTCAGAAGTAGGGTGGGGGTGGGGGAGACATACGTCCCTCTATCCCAACATTTAAGGAGAAATTAGGTGTTGATTTCATCGAATCCTTGGAACCTGGAGAACTCCCTCCAGAAGTCTGGGCCACTCCTGCAGACTGGGTCCTGGGTCGCCTTTGCCCCGTTTACTCTGCAATGTTTACTTCCCCGTGAGGCCACGCGGGGCCTATAAATAGGAGAGGTAGGAGCGGCTCGGCTGTCCGATCAATAGGGCCTCGTCTCCGCGCCTTTCAGCTGAGCTGTCTAATTAATTATGAAAGGATTCACCTGATCCCTACCCTGAGCACAGCCTCTGGCCCCTCTGCCGGCGCCCTTAATGGCGGTTCCTGAAGCTGCTGCGGCCGCCGCGAGGAGGCAGCGAATGGTGGTCAGGGCCAGGCCTACAGGGACGCGGTCAGGGCCCGGACTGCCCTGGGGCGGGGGCAGCAAGGCTGGCAGCCCGGGCGCGCTCTGCCGCACCAAGCCCCTTTCCTCCAACCCTCACTCGGAAGGGACCTCTGGTTTTCAGTTAAATAAGTTAAAAACTACTTCCTTTTTTCCTCTTCTAATAAGAATTTGAAGGACTTTGCAAATCGTCCTAGGTGGGAGGTTCCGCTTGATCCGGTGGCTTTGTGAATTGGTGACTTTCTCACCCGGCGTCTAGTGTCCCTTGAGATACCTGGAGAACTCGATGGATCCGGATAGGAAAGAAAAGGAGACCCCCGTTTCAAACAATAACTTTTATTTTATACTTCTCTATACTTTGTAGCAAATCTTTTTTTTGCTGAATTTAATTTATAATAAACTTTTTAAATTACATCTCTCTCTCTTTTTAAAATCAAGGCTCTTTTATGTCAAAATCTTTTGAACTATATTTTAGACTAACATTTAACATCCCCCCTTGTGAGCTATACCGTTGGATACTCGGGTATTACTGTATGTGTAACATCTAAAACAGGAGAGAGGAGGGAAATAAAGGCAGTGGATTTGAAAGATGCGTCGACAACAGCAGGTAAAGCTAACCCTCAGTGACTTCGCGGCATTTCTTCACTGGCCTCGTTCAGAGCCCTCGCAACCTCTTTCCTTCTTTCCTCCTGTCCTTCACTCGCCAAGCCAGCAATGTGTCCTTTCGCTTTGTCCAGGAGAAATGTGCTGTGGAAATGATCGAAACAAGGTACTGTGGAAGAAAGACGCGAGCACGAGCTCTCACCGGACGCTGCCCGCACACCCTCTCTGGGTTTCACCCCCTGGCCTTGTCCTCTCCTCGCTTTCCTATTAGGATGAGCCCATCGTTTTCGTGTTATCAACATGATTAATATAGTAAGTAGGTGGCCCAGGGCCGTTCCTGAGATTCGTTTGCCAAAATAAAAATGAAAATTAAAAAATGGGGGTGAAGTTTGCCGTTTTCTTAGATTTGCGTGAAGACGGACTAAAGCTGAGGTCCGGTTTTGGCTGTGCTTGCTTCATCACTGATCGGTAACATTTGGCAAATAAAACACACCCGAAAAAGAAAAAGAAAAAAAAATCAAGCAAAAAATTAAAAAAAAAAAAAAGAGAGAACCAGGATTTCCCACAATCCTATATGAGTGTTTTCAGCATCACAGAGAATCACAACGTCCCCAAAGAACGAATGGATCTTCCTCTCGGTTTCGGGAGCATGGAGTGAGTGTGGGCGCGCGCGGAGGGGGGAAGCAGGCCGCGCTCAGAAGGGAAGCCAGGTCGCTAAAGCTGCCGAGAGAGACGCCAGGAGCAGGGGCACCGCCGGGAGCAGCGGCCCCGCCGCCCCATTGCCGCTGCCGCAGAGTTCGAATAAGCTGCCTTGGATGTTGAGGTTTTTGGATTCTTTTCTCAGTTTATCCCACATATCTTTCGCCCCTTCCTGGCAATCCGTAAGGGCTGTGACCGTGCAGCTGTGGAAATCCTCCCAGTATCTGGCGAGGAACAGAACAAAACACAAGGATCATGTCCACTTGGGCGCGGGAGGACCCGGGCCTGCACCCTGCACTACTCGCCCCGCCTGGCCTCGCCTCCACCACCTCCCCGGCTTCCGGGCTGCTCAAGGTCACAGCTCGCGGGACCTCGGTCCAACCCAGAAGTGCAGTCCGGAGGGATGGGCCACCCGTACCTTTCCGCTGTCTGGTTTCCCCTCTCCGGTGCCAGGAGAGGACCCTGAAGCCGCCAGCCGGGCTGTGCCGCAGCGTCGCGCTGGCACCTTGGCCTGCGCAAACAGATTGCTCGTCCTCCTCAGGGAAAGCTAGGAAAACAGCGCTAAGCCTTGCAAGCTGCCACCCATTAATGCCTCTTAGCCTGCAAGATGGGTAGCTGGCTCCGGGGCGTTCCTCCCCTCTTGGCCTGCACACTCTCCTCCCCTCGGCCCTCCTGTCTCCCTCCTGCCTGGCGAACAGGCCTGCGCCCTCCTCTCCCTCCACCCACCCTCCCCTCTTTTGTTTCGCATTCCTCGTCATTTCCCCGTTGTTTCCCTTTCTCTTCCCTCTTTTCCTTTCTCCTTCTTTCTCGGCCTCTCCATCTGCTCGGGTCCTCCGAGCCCCTCTAGCCTCGCCTTCCTCCAGTCACCTCCACCCAGATTCTGTCCCTCCGGAGACTGCGGCCTGCCTCTGCCCTTCCCTGGGTCGGTGAGTGTCAGTGCCCCCGGGGACCTGGGATCTTGTAAACCCCCAGGCTCCAGGCCTAAGCAGTCCTGCTACCTCAGCCCTCCTCCCTGGCTTTTCTGTGGAGTTGAAGCCTTGGAGCCTCTTCCTTACAGCCTTGGAGTGTAGCGCTGCTACCCCAGCCAAGCCTCCAGGGCAAGCTCCGTGTCCCCTGCAGACTGTCCTCCCCTTCCGGTCAGTTCCTGGACCCCCACCCCCATAATTCAGCCACTTTCTCCTCCCAAGCTTGGTTCCTATCCCTTCCCCCACAACCTTCATCCAACCTGTCCTTTTTTTCTCATTGTCCCCCTTTCTTCTGAAAACCCAAAATAGATCCCAAGACTAAATATAATCCCAAGTGGGGATCGATTCCTGGGGCTCTATCTCCTTTCGAAGCTGGGTCGGTCTTCGTGTCCCGCTGAGCACCAGGTCACCATCAGCTGTTCACAGGACCTTAAGCCTGTGGAAGGCAGGCACCTTGCCTGATCTCTGCCTCTTCCCACTCCCAGCCCTTTTTGCTGAAGAGTGGAGTAGTAAGTGCTTGTTGGGAGGCCTGGAACTCAGGCTGTCTTCTAAAAACCTCTAATTAAGGCATTAGGGTGTGCTTGGGCACAGGAATTTCAGCATTCCACAATTTATGATAAATAGCAAATTTACAAACACCAAGAGACCCAGGGGCATTTCCTTGAGGGGCTTCCATCCAACCACACCTCCCAAAGCATGTGTAAGTTGCTTTCTTAGTGTTCCCCTAGATGGAGAGCAAGTCCCCCAGGAAGAGGGAGGAGGAGGAGAATAGGGGTTCATCTGGGGCTGAGCTAGCTGGGGTACACCTCGGTTTGGCACAACCAGCACCAGCAAGCTTAAAACTCCAGAGAAAGGGCCCTCCTCAGCCCACTGCTACCCAGGTTCAAATCCTGCTAAACAAAACAAAACAAAAAACCCCAAAACCCCGCTTTCTTCCAGGCAATGATGGAACCTGCTCTATTTGTACCCAATCATGCTTTATAGGATTAATTTTACTATTAGCAGACATTTGGAATTAAATGCCTCTGTCCCTTTCATGATAGAAAAGTACCAGCTCCGGATGGGTGCTGTAGTATTTAGAACTGTGCCCAGCAAGGCCAGCCCCTGAGCAGTCATGATTTAAATGAATACTCTGCGCCTAATGAGGGGAGAAGGACCTCACAGTATAAAAAGGAAGCATAAAATGGTCAATTTCAATCTATGGGACAAAGGAGCACCTCTCAGTTGGGCTTTATGGAAAGAGATCTTGGGGTGGGGGAATGTAATTGTTTTTGACACATAAAAAACATTGCAGAGGGCCAGGGAAATAGCTCAGTAGAATAAGTGCTTGCCTGGCAAGTGCAAGTGCCTGAGTTCAATCCCTGGTTCCGCAAAAAAAAAAAAAAAAAAAAAAAAAAGTTGCAGAAGAGGGGGATCTTGCTAAGGTCTGCCCAAGTGGCACAGGCCCACCACAGCAGGACTCTGCTGGTCACCTCCTCAACAGTAGGGGGAAAGGCTTTAGAGCTCATCTCTGAGAACACACCCCTGGGCCTGACCACAAGTCCTCTTCTTTGGACCTCCAGCTGCTCGGACTTGGGATCTCAGGAGACCATGGAGATATTAAAAAGGCCAGAGGAGGGGAGGAGTGTGGTTACCCAGTCGGAGTAGGCTATGAATGCTGCAGACATGGAGTCACTGCACAGCCCGATGTACTCCTCTTGGGCCAGGTCCTTGGCACACAATAAAATATGGTTCCAGCCTTTCTCCTGGGGATGGAAGGGGATCCTCACACCCTCTGCCTTTCCCTGGTGTGTAGTGGGGTGGGGAGAGCAAAGTATCAGTGGAAATGGACAGAACAGGCAGGCGGCTTTTCCTCCAACCCAAAGCAACTGTTCAGGGATTACTGGCTAGGTCACTGGTTCACAAGAGGGCAGAAAGGAGACTGCCTCAAAGCAGAGATTTTGCAGAACCAGCAGCTGATACCTGGGCCACTGCCCAAGGGCCCAGGGCAATGGTCTGTGCCAGCTTGTAAGGCCTCAGAGGGCAGGGCTGAGCCCCCTTGGGGAGGGAAGCAGCCCCCTTGACTCTCCTCCAGCTGGAGAGTCCCCTTAGACCCATAGCCTAGGCTCCAGGGTTGGGAGCCAGAAGGAATTTCAGGGTGTGCTGGGAAATTCAGCAGCCTCCAGGAAGAGAAAACTGCACCCCAGGACACACTTACGTGCACACGGTCTTGATGTTTGTCTTGTCGTCCAGGCCCTGTGGGTAGGTGGCCATGTTGTCGCCCAGCTTGAGCAAACAGTCCGAAAAGCCCTTAAAGACTGCATCGCACTTGCCTGCTGCTCTCACGGCCTGCACCAGGTACGCTGCGGGGAGGAGAGGACACAGGTCAGCGGCACTGCCACTCACCCTGCCCGGCCTCCCTCTGCTAAAAGTGAACAACGGAGGAGGTGGCCTAGGACTGGCCAGTGTGGTTGTCTGGGCTCCAGAGAAGGTGGGCGGGAGAGAGGAGATCCTCCCCCAGCTCGCTCCCCAAGCAGCACGCTGTATCTTTTTCTGTTCCCAACGCCCCCTCTCCTCACCTCCCTCATCTCCATTTCTTTCCCTCACTCCCCCCTCAGCTCCCAACACTTCCCCAGCAAGCCCTGTCACGCCTCTCATAGTGCAATCTTCCATTTTGAGGTGACAAGAGGGGGGGGGTCTCCATGAGGATTGCGGGGTGAGGACAGTATGGAGAGAAGGCTGGGTGTGGGGTCGCACAGCAGAACCCAACACCACTGCATGCAAATAGCCCTCAGACTCCAGGTCCTTGGCATCAGCTCAGGAGACACTGTTGAAAGAATAAAGACTCTGAAGCCACCAGTGGTCACCCAGACAGACTATTTCATTCTAAAACCCACCGGATGCTGCCACCACGAAGTCTGTTTGCTGGAGGCCCTTGGATGTAGGATTCCTGTGTTCCACAGAAAGGGGATAGTTTGAAAGCCCAAGACATGGGGGTGGTGATTGGTGAGGATTGGTCCCAGAAGGTCGGGGACAACAAGCGGGTGAGGTCACTGAAGTGTCCGCGCCGGTGACTCCAGGTCACCTCCGCGAGCCTTGGGGCCCCTGATATCTTCTGCCTCTGTCCAAGCCGCCTCTCCGCCAGCCTTAGCGTCCCCAAAAGGTCGCAGCTACTCATCACAAAAGAGGACCCGACCCTTCTCCAAACCCCAGCCAGGCGCAGAGCGCGCAGCCGCCCAGAGCTCCTGATCCTGCTCCAGGCTCTCTCCAGAAGATGGGAGTGCGCTGGGGAGGCGGGAGGAGCTGGACAAAACCAGGCTGTACTGAGGTCCTGAAGTCCGCTAAACCCGAGGCTCCGGACTGGAGAGAGAGGTCCAGGCCCAGAGTGCACTGCGGTGGCCTTCTCTTTCCACCCTGCGGCCAAGAACCCGGCAAAAGCTGAGTACCTGGTGGCCAAGAGCACCTCGGGCACCAAGCGGGCGCGAGAGAAGCGCAGGTCTGCGCTGTCCAGGCAGGGAGAGGTGTCAGGGTAAGTCTCGGACCCAGAGTCGAAATCTGCCTCCAGCTCTCAGGACTCGCTCGCAAGCCTCCCTGGAGGACCGCGCACTTCAGCTCAGTCCCTAGGCAGCCTCTGTGCCCGAGAGCCGGACTGAATACGACCAGCGGGAAGGTGACTGAACTGCCGCAGCCCGGGAGAAAGCGCACTTGCAAGACTGCTGTGGGAAGCAACGGGCGGGCCTTGCTTTCTAATCCGGAATGGGAAACGCTGGCGCAGGGACCTCGGAAGGGGTAGGGACCTTCCTAAACCTCCTGGTTTCTCTTGCCCTCCAAATTTAATGTCTATGCTACTACGATCATAGCAAATCGAACACTGGCTTGGTATCTCACAGATAACTGCATCTTTGTTCTAATGGAACTCAGAGTGAAACAAGCCCCGCACACCTTTCTCTACAATGCTTGTTACAAACACAGCTCTGCAGCAGAGACAAAACACAGACCACCTTCCCCTTTCCCGGTCTCTCCTCACCCTTTACTTCCACTCCTCACACTGGGTGTCCAAAAAGAAGCCCCTAAGAAGCGCTGATTTTTTTTTTTTTTTTTTAAAGGAAGTGGTTGCTCGCTGGGAACGGGAAGCTTGCCTGTCACGTTATCTTTCCAGGCGCTGCACACCGCGCATGTGTGAGTGTATGCGTGTGTAAAATAAGTCGTGAAAATATCTGTGTTTTGCAACTATGACTGTTTGGAGTGCAGCTTGTCTGCTCTGGGAGGCCGAGCCTCGCGCTGGGCGGATTTTGCAGGCGCACCCCTCGGACCGGTCATAGCCTCTGTGCCCCGAACAATTTTTCCTGCACCCGATTTCTACAGGGCTCTGGCAGGCGACTCAGGGCTCCTTCTCCGTCCTCTTTTTGGGGCTTCTATTCTTTCATTCATTCCTTTGACCTCTCATTCATTTCAAACTTCTACCACCGCATCTTCATTCGTTCACCATTCTACTTCCCCGCCCTCCCCACCCCCACTTTTCTTGTCAAATATTAGTGATTTGGGACAGCTCCCAGCCATGAATTAATAAAGACTGAGGCTGAGGTGCAGGAAAGGGCAGACATTAGGGAACGAATACACTCAATTTCCATGGCACAGCCAACAAATGGTCACCTTCCGGCAGAGGTTAGTGTGCTCAAAATCATATCCCTCAAATGCAATCGCTCTTCCTCCTTCTCAGAGTAAGATTATTTTCCACTGGGACAACACTACCCCAAACCTTCTCAGATTAAAAAGCCAGGTCTCCAAGACAGTTGCTGTTTCCTGCTCTCTAAATTTCCAAGGCTAATTGCAAAAGGCCACTTTCAATTATTCTCAACATTAAAGGGTTTTGCTGTCATTAGAGATATTCTTTCTTCACTGCAGCTCTTTGAACTAATGTCAAAGATGCACAAACAACCACACTGAAAGTCATTTCTTAGAATTAAAGGAAAACACTAACATCTATGTGGTTCCCCACACATTTTGAATCCACACACTCTAAAATCCCTATAATGTTTCTGCAAAACAGAAAACAGAAAACAACCCTTCAATACCTGTGTAATGCATCAAAACCTTACTACAAAGAAATCATTTTAATGTCCAGAGAATCCAACCTTGTTTCCTGCACATTTCTCAGACAAGAAAAATGTTAGCATTTCATCTCTTGCCCCAATCCAATTCTCTAAAGCAGCCCTGCCCCCATACTGCAAGGTTTTGTCTGCAAAAGCTACAGCATGAAATTATAGGAGGTGACAATTCCCTCCATCTTCAGAAAACCCATTGAAGAGTTTCTATTTTTTTCTCTTGTCCATTCTATTAATAACCTTTCCTTTCACTTTTAGCTCATGTTAATTAATGCTCTGACCCACCATCAGAGAAGGGATTTTTCTAGTGCATGGGAACCACAACATTTTCTGCATTCTGGATGGGGGGGGCGTGAACTTTGAAAATCCCCCTGACAGTGTAAGTAGGACTCTACATTCCTTAACATAACACACAGACTAAACACCTCCGTACATAATCAAATAAAAGCAACAGCACCCGGTATGATATTGCAAACATTTCTTAAGCCTTTTCCATATGTAAGATACAGATATGAACGTGTAAAGTAGTAGGCAAATGTGCCTTAAAAAGTGTATGCATGTATATTTGGCTAAGCTCAGGCTCTTCAATTGCAAGCACAATATAGCATGTAGTCTGGGGTTCCCCACCATTCTCGGTTTGCCCCTCAGCGGGGTTTGCGGCGCCCGGAGCAAACGCTGCAGCTAGGATATGGGGGAGGGGGCAGGAGAATGACAAAGTTCTAAATGCAGCAGTTTGAGCAGAGCACTAGGATGTCTTTGCCATCTGCACATAAACTTTCCCGTCCTGGCTCCCTAGCCATCTTGTTCCTGCATTCACCTTTCGACCCTTCCAAATAATCTTGCTGGATCGCAGGGGCCAGAGCATTGCCCTGGAGAGCGCTGAACCTAATCTAAGCCCAGAGAGACAACCAAGAAATGGATGTGTGCTTTGGGGGGGGGGGTGGTGTTGGAGGAAACCCCCTCTGGAAAACGGCGGGTCGTACACATTTCCTGGAGAACGTTTGAAGTCTCTCTCTCTCTCTCTCTCTCTCTCTCTCTCTCTCTCCCTCTCTCTCTTTCTCTCCCCACCGAACTAGGGCGCGAAGTCCCCAGGCGCTGGCGCCCCCTCTCTCGGGCTTTGCGGGGTTCTCCGCACCCCAGGGCGGCCGCGGGCCACTCCGTTCCCCTCCGCGCCTTGGGCCCGGGCTGGCTGTCTTCAGAGCCCGGCCCGGCGGCCACTTACCTATTTGCACCGCGAGGATCAGTGAAATGTATCTGCCGTTCAACTTAAGTCCCATCCTACGTTTAGTCAAACCATTTGCGATCGCAGACCTTTAAATAGTTAGTTTAGAGAACGCGGGGGAAAGCTGAAAAATAGGCATTGCCAACAAGTTCCGGGAGCGGCGGAGACTTTATGCACCGGGAAGGCAGAGGGAGGTGAGAAAGAGAGGGACCGAGGAAGAGACACACTCAGAGAGAGAGAGAGAGAGAGAGAGAGAGAGAGAGAGAGAGAGAGAGAGAGAGAGAGGCTGGGGGAAGAGCTGGGAATGGTTCACTCCATTAGGAGGGGGCGGAGGAAGTACAGCCTCACGCCCACGAGCAGGCCTGACGTGGGGGATGACACGGAATGATTTTTTTTTTTTAATATAGACACCTTAATAGAGAATCGCCATTTATAGTCATCAGAAACTGGAATTAATCAGCTATCTCCAATTAATGTGCGATCCCAGCGAAACCTCTCCTCCGGGTGACCACTTTCTAATCCCCGCGGCCACCCCCGCCTCCTCCAGGTTCCTGGGTGCCCCCAACTCCGCCCCCTCCTAGTGCTGAACGCGGGGCTCCCCTCCCCTCCTCGCTTGGAGCCGGGGAGTCCTGGCGCGCCCACTCGATTGTTTCAACCTGCCTCCCCCTTCTTCCAGCCGCACAACGGCGAATCCAGCCCCCCTTCCTACGCTGCAGCGAGGTTGCAAAGAGCGGGAAGCGGAGAGGCAAGCGCCGCTAAGCCAACTCTGAATTCAAAAGCCCCCTTGGCTTCCAGTCCCCCGCACTTGCCTATCCTCTTTTTCTGCAGCCCAGCGGTGGAGCGGGCTCAGGCTGGGACCTGGGTGCCCACGGCCCGGCTCCTAGCTAGCTCACATTCAGACACGCACTGCCCGCGGTCCCCTGAGCACCCCGCGCCGCCCGCACACACCGCGCAGAGTGCGCTCACGCCCAAGCCCGGGGGCTGGGTCTCCGCACGTGGGGTCTCCGAAATGTGCACCACGGCCCACAGTGAAATTCACCCTGCGGGGCGCTGGCCAGAGCCTGCTTCCCAAGGCTCAGTGACACTTATTGGGGCGATCACGGAGAGAGGGGAGCCTCTGCGGAGACAATTTTCAGACTACTAATTTACAAATTCCCAGAGCTTAGGAAATTCAGGAGGCAAGCGCGAATGTGGAGGCTGCTTTCTGATTTTGATGCACCTCTTGGGGTTGTGGGGCCGTACTAACACGTACACACACGCACACACGTACATCACGTACGCACACGCACACCGGGACTCACACACACCTACAGTGTCTTTTGATGATAGGGCGCAGATTCTGTGTAGACTCAGCCTACTTGGTAACCAAGAGCTTCTTTCACAGCTGCTTTTGGGAAAGGTTCAAGGTGCTAAGTTACAAATGCAAAATAAACTGGGCTGCTTCCTTTCTAAGACGCCCTCAAGCTTTGGTTTACTTTATTTCCGCTTGCCCCGCCTCCCAAATCCTAGATTCTAGCATCTTTAACCAGATACCAAAGTAGATACTAGCCAAGTTTATTCCATAAGCGCCTTAAGAGAAAAAACAAACAAACAAAAAACCAGAAAAAGATCCCCCCACAAATCTTGCAAGACTACATGAGAGACTGAGGATTTCAAGCAAGCAGCACAAATGCAAACAAATTATGGAGAAATGACATGAAATTGGCCTGTCCAGGCAGCGTACCCTTAGTGTGCCCAGTTCGGCATCTCCAGACAGCCTTTTGGAGAGGCATGGACAGAGAAAGGACAAAATGGTGCAAAATAGAGGACTGGAGCAGGCTGTCAAGGGTGTGGGTCAAGGGGTCCCTTGGGGTCCTGACTGCAGCACTCTTTAACTCCAGAAGCCTGCCCTGGACAGCCCCTTGTCCGAGTCCCGCCGGAGCCGCAGACGCCGGGTTGACAGCTCGGACTCGGGGGGCGGAGTGCGTGGCCACGCCCCCATGACGTCACAGGGAGGGCGGGGCGTCAGGGGCTTCGCCTGGCCAGCGTCCAGGGGCAGCGTGTGGGAGGCTCGGGTGTTTCCTATCCTTGAGCTTCGAGGTTACTGGATGGGGTGGGCGGGTAGGGGCGGGGCGGGGAACCGGTGGCGAGAGGGGGGCGGTCCCGGAATCCGCCCCCGGCGCCCTCCAATGGCGGCGATGGAGGTTGCTCACGGGGTGGGGCCTCGGGGGGGCCTTGGCGCCCTGGCCCCGCCCCCCTCCCCGCAGGCCCCGCCCCTCGACCCCCCTTTCTTTCGCTGCTAGCGGCATCTGAGTCCCGCGCTGCTCGCGCTTGTGCTCCAAGTGATTTCCCCTGCACGTCGCTGTCTTCCTCCCTGAAGGTCTGAGGGTGGCCTGGAGTCCTCCCCGCCCCGTCCTCGGTGGGCTTGAACTTGAGGCTCTAGTGCTGTGGGAGGAGTCAGGACTGACAAGTTAATTTCCTCTCCGGCTCCCTCCGAGGCGCCTCTGCCCAGCCCTAGCTGGAGACCTCGGCTTAAAAGTGAAGAAGCGAGAGGCGAGCGGAGTTGCTGCCCTCAAATGAAGTTGGGTAGAAAAATTGAAAGCAAACGCTGACTATGTTTTTATACTTTCTTACCTTTTAAATTTCGGATGGTTCTGCCCCGGAGGCTCCAAGCAGGCTTGTTCTTTGCAGTCCCTTAAAGGGTAGTGCGGTCCAGGTTGCCGTGCGCGCGGTTAGAGAACGGGTAACAGCCCCGTGGGCCGCTGGCCTTGCAGAATGCTGTCTCTTTGATTAATTTGAAAACCTATCCCATGCTCTAGTTGAAGAGAGACATCACTGGGAGAGAAGCAAAGGAGCGCAGAGGAACTCGGGCTCGAGTCCTGGCACACTGAATTCATGTAGTCTTTGCTGGCCCCCACATCTCTTGAGTTAGCTTCTTAACCTGAAAAATAAAGAGGACTGGACTGAGAAGTAGCTCTAAGGCTGTTTCCAACTTTGACCTTTTGTGAACTTGACTTGTCTAAAATACTGCGGATGGGTTTAGAAACGGAAAGGCATGACTCAAAGGATAAAATCCATGCAAGAAGGGTAGCTGTAAGGCAATTTCTAACGAAGAGCTTGCTTCTTTTTATTATGCAATTTTATTTAAAGTTAAACGAAATACAATTCAAAGAGAGTAAAAAATAAAAAAAAATTTAAAAAAAAGCCATTGATAGTGCTCGGGACCTTTGGCGGGAGGCAAAGGAACTCCTAGAGTGGATATGCATGACTAAGGCAAAACTCCCCTCTTCTTAGCGCTAGAGAGAGGCCCTGCTTCCCACAGTCCGTCTAGCTGAGAAGTATTATTTCTCAGTTTCTTCTGTCAGTCTATCATAAGTAGATTTCCTTAAAACTGTCATCTCAAAAAAAAAATCTCCTTGAAATTATTTGCCAGAGCACTTGCCAGAACCAGTAGGAAATTCCATCTCTGTCTTCTAGGTCAGAGAATAATCCACTTCTATATTCCAACGGGTTGGTCTAGCAACATTTCTCATAGTCAGTCATTTTTTACCTTCAACTAAAACTTAATTAAAATATGAGCACAAACATATGTAGCTCCTTTTGCTAAAGTAATGACACCATATTTAAACAATCGTATACATTAAGAGGGGCATGAAATTGTTATGGCAATACATGAGTGGGAATCTCAATTCGTCAAAATCCATGTTGGAGGCCTGTACTTACCCTGAGGTCTGTTTTTTTTTTTTTTTTTTTTTTTTTATGCCGAAATTTGAATTTTGGAAGCACAGGTTTGTAGTATATGAATGTGATTAACTTTCTTATAAAAAGTAAACGTTTTTATTAAGTAATATACACACAGGTGTGCAGCTTACCCACGTCTCATAAATGAGCATCTGTGTGGTCCTTCAGTTGAGATAGTTGGAAGAGGTATGACAACTAAATGCAACTCACATTCCTTTGAAAATGAAGTCCTAGTCCAGAAAGGACAAGGACACTGTTGGGACAGTAAAGAAAACCTGCCTGAGGTCTGTGGATTAGGTATGAGTTTTATACCAGTCTTGACCTTTGATTGGATAGTTATATGCTGATTCTAGAGGAGGATGTCCTTGTTTGGGTTTGGCTTATACCAATATTCAGGGGCAACAGAACATCACATCTGTAGCTTGCTCTGAAGGGTTCAGAAAAAGAATAGCTATGATGAGAAATAAATAATGATGGAATAAATATAGAAACATATTCATAGTTGCAGAATATCTAAGTGAAGGTGTACATGAGTTCTTTGTATTATTCTGATACTTTTTTCTTCAAAGTTTAAGCCAGTTTTAGGTTTTTTTTGGGGGGGCAGCATCTTGATATACAGCTCAGGCTGGCTTTGAACTCAGTATGTAGTCCAGGCTGGCCTAGAACACATAGCCCTCTTCCTACCTCAGCCTCCCAAGTGTTGAGATTACAGGTGTGTGCCATCACACCTGGCAAGTTTAAACCACTTTTAAATCAATTATTTTTTTACAAAGTCAACCATAATGGGGTTAAGGATTCACTATGGTTCAGATATTGTTCGAGTATATTTCAATATGCTTAAATTTAATCTCTAGTAAGGTACCTAGACAGCAGTCCCTTAAGCCAGCCCTGATGTTTAGAGAAGGAGTCTGTCAGAGTGGAGCCCCATGACTGTGTACTGGGGTATGGAGGAAGAGGCAGGGAGGAGGATTTAGTCACACGTGGGTGCCTTGTCTCCTGCCATATGATGCCTGCGCTCCACCAAGTCTCTTCCAGCAGCAAGGCCACTCACAGGCGCAGCCTCCTGACTTGGGACCTCCAGAACCACGTGCTAAAGGAAAATCTTCTCTTGTGAAATTACTCCAGCCTTGGGTATTTTAGCAACGCAAACTACAGAGACCTGTTCAAAACAAACCTTTAAAGTACTAATTGAAGCATATAGATGAAGGTTTTTAAACTTTAAATAAGCATAAAATGTGTGAACTGGAAAAGATTGATAAATTTGGCTACAATAAAAGGGCAAACTCGTTTGTCAAGTAACATCTTACAGGAAATGAAAGAGCAAATCACGGACTGTCACATAACCTGCTTTTATCATGATTTGGATGCTCATCTACTTCCGTTCAGCCAGTGGGAGCCCCTTCCCACTCGTTTCAGTGTACTGTGATGATGCTTTGAGAATTCTCTCCTTCTGATACAAAGCACTGAGTGTGTCCTGACGCAGCCCTGCGCTCATCAGTCTCTTCTCCAACAGCGCTGGCTTCTTTTAGTTTCAGAATCAA